CGAGCTGAAACTTGTATAAACAAAAAAAAATTAGAAATTATCCTTTTCACTATTTTTCCATAAAAAATATTTATAAAAGATTTAAAATATGTAATAAATATTTAAAATAAAAATCAGCTATTGATTCTCAACATCCGTTAAAATAGTTTTTTGTTTATGACATATAATTTATTTTAATGGATACAAAACCAATCTTATATCAATATTAAAATGATCTATTTGGGTGATTAATATTTCAAAATAATTTGAAGTTAAATATATATTTTTATGTCAAAATTACATTAAATCATTTTATGAATAAGTTTTAGGTGCTCGCTTTCTATGAATATTTTTTAGTAAAAAAAGTTTGATGAGACCAAAACCCCCAAAACAAACATGAAAACCGACAATATTTAATGTTATGAGAAGAAAAAAAAACACAATATTGATTCCAATTTTTGTTTGTTTTCCAATTTTTTCTTAGAATGTGATTATTATTTTGTAACGAATCTCAAAGATTTAATCAAAATTCTCTGTTATTCTCTCTCCTTTTAAAGGTACTTAAAATTCACAATTACAAATAATAAATTTATGACAAATGATTTCAATTATTCTGAAAAAACGTCTTTCCATTTCGTTGTTTACTTTTCTTTTATCATTTCTAATCTCTGATTACATGCCAACTTAACCAATTTTTCGATTTTTTTCCCAAACAAGGAACTTGGAGAAACTGAAAGAACCTCGAAATCATGGAAAAACCCTAAGCCCGGATCCGAATTCTGACCCGTTTCGTTATCGGACTCGAAGCCCAGGTGTTTCTCTCTTCCCTTCCTTTGGGAGAATGAGCACTGTAGTCCCATTTCCAGACCTTAATCTCATGCCGGAATCCCAAGCATGCAATCCTCCCTCCGTCGTCGCCGGAATCACTCCCGGAGTCACCGGAAAGTTATTGTCTCCGAAGGTAGAGGTTAAGGCGGAACCAATTGATGAATTGCAAAACCAAAAACCTAGTGAAAGTATCTCCGTCCATGGAGTTTTGTCTGATTCCGATGTTACCG